CCCCCCCCCCCCCCAGTACATAAACCCAATCACATAAATATTGTAACTAATCCAAGATGATAGCTCCCAGAAAGCTTGATTTTGCCTTTAGCACTTGCATAGTATTGTATGAAATACACCTGCTTGATATTTCAGGATTTTTTTCAATCTTGCTGATTAGATAATGAAAGTACATAATCATTTGTCCTGAATCCTTTCCCCTGAATCAACAACAACAACAACAACAAAATCCAATTGAAATTAATTCTTGATAGCAGGGTTGAACCTTTTAAAAAGGTTTGATCCCCTATTTAAAATGTTAGTCAATTAAGAATCCTTGATGCTAAATCAACAATTTTAAAACACTCTTTATCAAACTGGAAATCATGCAAATTTAATTTGCATTTTAAAAATTGCACAATTTCATTTCACCAAGTTAACCCTTTAACTTCCAAGATGACATTAGTAATTCTCCTTACTGTCTGCCATACAGTTCTTGTGATGTTAGTTTGGGGAATTTGATATTGGATCAACTTATAATCCCCTAATTGATATTCTTCTTTATTCTCATCACTCATCTGCTTGATATTTTATTGATGTTGTAAGGAGAAATTCTGTCTTGGTCACTCATGGGAGTTAAAGGGTTAAGAAAACAGAGTCAGAGGGATATAAGATACTTCTATTAATAGGAATAGTCAGAAGAAAAATGAAATACACCATAGTGTTTTGTTCTAACCATACCATCAGTTCGTAGAGCTTCACTATGAAGTTTTTCAGCTGTAACAAATTTTATCCAGGCTAAAATTGTAAACGCCACTAAACTGACACCAGAAATTGCCTCAACACCTGTGAACTACATTAAACAAATGTACAGCATGTGACTTTTCATTCTGTATAAGGTAAGTCCTCTAGAATTAAGATCAGCATCTTTTAAGAAGAGTCACTAATTTCAAATTAACATCAGTTTGGGATGCAGATGCCATAAAATTATACACTCGTGTGAAGTACACATAGGGCATCTGAACAAGGCCTCAGACATTCACCCATTTCTAAAGGAATTTAAGTATAATTATGTGGGGTTGGATGAGGTACAGCCTTGAAAAGTGAAAAAAATAAAAAAATAATTATTATTATCATAATTACCAAGCATGCACTGGGTTAGAACCCACAAGGGATGGGGAGTCAAGATTGTTTCCAGAATAGCCAAAGAAGAAAAGCAGACAACAAGGTAAGCAAGGCAGGCCATACCTGCCCACAGCTTGAAGAGATATGCCAACTGAGGTGGTAGTTAGTTTCCATTGGCTATATTCCTCTGGGACTGGGCAGGAATGAGCCAAGTCAATAAGAGAATTGACTAATAAAAGTTTCTAAAGAACTGTGGTGCTGAATAGGCAGGGGAATTTAGCATTCATGATAATTTGATTTTATCAATTGAGTTGATAGTGTAAATTGGCAATGTTTTGAAAGCTATCTTTTGGTCAGAAATAATTGCAAAGAGCCAACACTTGCAAACCTCTGCTTTGAAACTCTATCGAGGCCAATTTACATTTTCAACACAGTTGAAACATCCAAATTATTTTCTGAAACTCCCACACTGATGCAGCAAAAAACCAAAACCAAAGAAGGTAATTGAATGAGGTGATAAGCTGTTACCTTACCCTTATAGGATGCTTTTCCACAATCAATGACCTGACTGCTCTAATAAATATTCCAGTACCAGATAACACAAATAATGCAGCAATTGCTATACATGCCCTAAAAAGAAAAAAAAAGATTCTCAGAGAAATAAGTTTTTTGATTTTCTTACATGATTATTTACATGTACATAGATTTGATCAGGTTTACCTTCTTTCTCTTTCCCAAGAGTAAGTTTGTCCAGCTAAACCACAGAATCTCCAAATTACAACCACTGATGAACAAACATCTAGTAGTGAATCAAACTGAAAGAGAAAATTAAAGATAAAGTCAGTCAGATTGTTTCATGCTGATGGTGCAACAAATGGTTTTTTTGCTTAAGAACAAGGCAACTTACAGCAAAACCAAATGCAGCAGAACTTCTCGCCAAGGTGGAGATGACTGTGAAAATAGATAATTTCAATTCAACAAGACAAGAAACTAATAAAATCACGGAGCTATCAAATTTGTTTATAAAACATACTCATACCAAATGCACAAACTCCAATCACAAAAGTTGTAAACACAGAAGCGTATGATATCACAAGGGCTGCCTTCCTCCACCTATCCATCAACTGTGTTGGCATCTGCTTTTCTTTATGGAGAAGATAATCTGCAAAGAGAAAATGAATAAAAAGAGTCAGTGCTACTGACAGCCCACTAATTTACATGGTTAATTCTCCCCTCTAGCTGCAACACATTTCCTTGTAAATTGGTTACGAGAATTTGGTGTTCCATCAAGATAACATCATGTACCTGATAAGTTTGAGTATTCTCACTACCAGTCTGCTAGATAATGTATAGATACTCTGGGCAGAATTTACATCTTAATCACCTCTGGGAGGGTTAAGGGGTTAAAATTTATTGATATTGTGGGGAGAAATATGTTTTTCATAACATCACAGAGTGAAATGGTAATTACAAAGGTTCTAGATGTTTGTTGTATTTTATTCAAAATTAAAATAAACATTATATGCTTTCCTCAAGATGAAAAAAACATACGAAGCAAACATAGTAATGGACAGATATCCAAATAAATTATACTGTATGAAGAGGAAAAAGGCTTCCCTAAAACTAAAGAAATTTTTGCAATAAATCTGCCAACTTATCACAGCTTAAGAAAACTCATTAATTATGAATATCACAAATCAAAGGAAACCAACCATGAGTAAAGCTTCTTTGACCACATCACCATGAACAATTGAAAGAGTTTAAATGAAATTGAATTGAAAAATCTGGTGAGAAGTCAGACATTTGGTTAACAGATGTTACAGCTTCTACTGGTTTAATTTTAATCCAACTCAGCTTTTATCAGGACATTTTAAGCTTTGTCATTTAATGAGTAAGCCCAACAGAAACAAATCACAAAAATTGAAATTTTTGCATATGACCAAGATAGGAAAAAAATTTACTTCCTTATGGAAAAAATGTTCCGGCTTTTCAAGAAACTTGCGAAATAACTTGTAATGCGACAACTTTAACACTAAATAAAATTTATCGCCTCGCTTTTCCAAACAGATGGAAAATTTCTGAAAAACACTTTACAATACGAAGACCACAGCTTGAAATAAAGTTATCGCGTTTTGGAGAAATGTCAAATTGCACACAGGTTAATTATCATTTTAACTGGAAAACCACTTGAATCTCTTTGGGGAAGTATTAATGTTAAATAAAATTTCATTAATTTTTAAATGTGGTTTACGAAGGGCGTTCAAATGTCATCTTCTCGGAATGAACACAATTATAATATTATTCAGAATTGACTTTTTTTTTAATCGAAGGCGACCTCGATATCAGCCGGATTCTTACAGGTGTTGTTCGCGAAAAAAAAGACTATGACGAGATAAAATTTCCTTCGCTCCGAATCGGCCTCAAAAAACACTATCCTTTTCGTTAATTTCCTATGCCTGCGTTTTCCTGAGTGGGTCAATCAGAATTAACTAACCATGGTTAAAATTGTAAAGTGCAATTATTTTAAATTTAGACTAAATTATTCCATTTGGATATTTTCCTAAAATAGAACAGGAACATTCAAATTTTCTCTTCCGTGGATAATAAATAAAACGTCCCTTGTGCATCATGAAGCATCAATCATATGATGTCATATTTTGAAGTGTGAAAACTGAAGAGGCAAACAAGGAAAAACACGAATCTTAGCGCTTCAAGCATAGACAGATCTACCAACTTCTCTGCAAAATATTCGGCATGATCTAGGCTGGTACCGACTTATATAGCGCAAATCGAAAGCTGTTGAAAAGCAATAAAATTCTTATTGAATAACTTTCACAAAAGTAGCCCGAAATTAGCCCTCTCAGCTGTCAAAACAAAATAATCGTCCGATAGTTGACAAATTCCCGCCGAGATTGTCACGAATGAAATCAATACACAGTTCACTCACCGTCATCCATGGGCGAAATACAAGGAAATCCTTCCAACTCTTTGGGTTTTTCTTCAGCATCACTGACGCTTGTTAAAAGGACGGTCGACGTCCCGTATTTGGTTGTATCTTCCATGGCCATTTAAGCAAATCGATCATTCCTAACACTGGGCGACGTCCATATCGACTATTAATCCCTTGATGCAGTGAATACACATTTTAAGCGTCGTCCAAACTTTCCTTGGAAGTCTGGGTAATTTTCTCTGACTTGGGGGTGATCTGGGAAGAGGACGAAAAAATCAAAACTCCTGATCTGATTGGTCAAAACCTGTGATAATTTCAGAAGTAATACGTATGAGAAATTCTCCGCCTTAATGATCTTCTGACGCGAATTCTGTACTTAAGGTACTCAAGGAGGCCTGTGAATCTTGTTAATATGAAGAGATGATTTCATCCAGTTATTGTTTTAAGGCGAAGAAACTCTTGATTGCAATAAACTCAGACTTAAAAAGGATTAGTGGGTAAATATATTAGTGGAAAAAAATAAGCATTTGCAAAAACTGAAAATAAACGAAGACCAAAAACACAGAACTTCAACGGGGTAGCTGTTACGTAAACAGCATGAGTGACGACCAAATATTTCAGTGGATGACGATTGCGTGACAGTTTTCCAAAGCAGGTACAGGTAAATGATTTCATATAAACCAACAGAATAATGATAGAAGAAAGTAGAAACCCATTTCACTCCCGAAAAAGAGAGTTGTTATTATGGTAAAGCCTTTATGCATGCTACCGAAACCTTTTGTTGTGGTTCAATTTTATCCTTGGTTCAAATTTTTTACTTTCTATTGTTTTTGGGTATTGAAATGTATGATAATGAGTTTGAAACAAAGGAAAAGAAAATTTGAACCAAGGATAAAATTGAGCTACAACACCTTTCTTTATTGGGACTGGGATGGGTTAACCCCCTCACTGTTCGAGGAGGTCTGGGAAAGAGGCCCGCGACATTTCAGTTCTTGATGTTAAAAACTTAACTTTATTCGTCTCTTGAAGGGTGTCGTTTCATCCCTCTTGAACCGGAAATTAATATACCCTTAATATTTGTTTAAAATCAAAATCTTGTGTTTGGTATTTGGAGCTCTACTTCTCAGCAAACGGGGGAGTTACAATCTCTTATTGGAAGAGATTGTGAATGAACGAAAACCATTTGTGTCACTGAACAAGATCGAACACAATTTGGCTGGCTGTCGGCTTTTAGGAAAATTAAGTTATTGTTGCTCTTCTGTTTGTTGTTTAATAACTTGAAAAACAACAGGTTCTTCAGCTTGTTTGGTGATGTCCTACGTTCGTATTCTGGGTGGAACAGCAGCAGTTAGCTGCAGTCTTTATGCATATTACAGATTTCGTGACAATGGAAGACAGGTTTGTGAAATAAATCGATTTCTTTCTGCTTAAAAAAATATTGAGGCGTTCTTTGAAAGGAATGCGTTACATTTGGCCGGGATTAAATACAATAATGTTCGTTTTTATGTCCATGACTTCGACTCAACTCACAAATAATCCTTTATTTAGCGATGCAAACAATAAAATATGGTTAGATGACTGCCCGTGTAGCAAGGAGTTATTGTTATTTCCAGCTGTGTGGTAATTTACACATGAACTGCAAGGGTACAGCTTGGTAAGGTCTCTTGCGTGTATGCGAGCCCCTTTCTTTCCGAAATGAGTGAATTTACGATGCTAAAACAAGATGGCATATCCCTCAAAGGCAAGTATAACGACACTGAAACGTTTTCCCCGGCATGTATCCCTCTTTGATTATGTACTGCCAGGTTGAAGTAATAAACTTTACAAAACCTTACATTATTTCTTTTACCTGAAGTGCTCAGAAACCATTGGTTATGTGAAGTTTCATGTAGAATTAAAAAAAGGCTGTGTTAGTTTTACATTTTAGTTATGTAAGATGTGGATCAGATTACATGAGAACTGACCAAATCGTAGCATCTAATTTCTTCCTAAGATATCTCCCCTGAATCACAAATTAAGGTCAGGAGAATAAAGGAAAAGATCACTATCTTAAAATTCTCTTGATTATTAAAAAAATTATCCTTATCAGCTTCTTAGGAAATTTACTGTTAAAGAGAGCAGTTTTGTCCAAACATACATACTGGTGTTAGGATACAAAGGGTTAATCCTTTAACTCCTAAGAGTGACTAACATTTAATTTCTCCTCACAATATCACCACTGAATCACACATTAATGTCATGAGAATGAAGGAAATGATCACCAACTAAAGAAACTCTTGATCATCAAACAAATTCTCCTTGTCAGAACTTAGGTAAATATACAGAGAACAGTATAGAGAATTTGAATACTGATGTTAGGTTAATTTAATATAAATCTTCCCTGTCATTTAGAATCCTCTGCTGTCAGTGTCTGCAGCAGAGTCAGGTGTGGCTCAGAGACCAAACAATCCATTGCCATCCAGATCAGTCCAAATTGACTCCTTGAAGAACACACCAGAATTTGATGTTTTAGTGATTGGAGGAGGTGCCACTGGATGTGGGGTGGCTCTGGATTCTGTCACCAGAGGTACAAACCTGAAATAACAGTTGAAATGTAAATTTTATAGAAAGCTAATTCATTCAGGATGTATTTTTGAGGAAGAGTTAGTTCCTTACAATGTGCATGTGGAGTTATGCAGCTGATTTAACCCTTTAACTCCCAGAAGTGATTAGCATGTAACTTCTCCCAATAATATCCATACATTAACCTGCACACAGTTAATAAGAATACTTAAACTAATCAGGTGGAGGTTGTTATCTTGATCCAACACCAAATTCTCGTAACTTATTTTCAAGGAGATGTGTTGCAGCTGAAGGAGAGAATTAACAATCAGATCTTGGGACTTAAAGGGTTAAGGGTTTTGGTTGTGTTGTTCGTTTCATCGTCAGATAAATGAATAAAAGGAGTAAATTTCTAAAGAAACTGTGGTGCTGCATCAGTGGGGCATATTACAAGATATTTTGGTTGTATCAACTGGGTTGATAAAGTAAATTGGCCACCATGAAGAGTTTCTAAAGCTATTTTGATTGTTAGCCCTTCCTTGAAGTAAACAGTTAGTTTCCTGAAGTTATTTTTTTCCATAATGACCACTTTGAAGAATACTGATCTGTGTGGATTGATTCCTTAGGGTTAAGTACAGCTTTGGTGGAAATGGATGACTTTTCATCTGGAACAAGCAGCCGCAGTACCAAATTGATTCATGGAGGAGTACGCTATCTACAGAAAGCTATCATGAAGCTAGACAGAGAGCAGGTCAGACCTGTGGATTCTTATCTAACAAAAGGGATTATTTCATCTTGTGTTAATCTAGTGAGGTTAAGATAGATATTACGGCAAATTTATGTTGTATATAGTTTATATATACATTTAGATTTAATTTATTTTTCTTAGCTTTTTGAAAAATAATGCAATAAAGTTGTTTATCTCTTAGGTTACAAAGTAATTCTTAATTTGTCTTTAAATCTACAGTATCGTCTAGTAAAAGAAGCATTACATGAAAGAGCAAACCTGTTGGCTATTGCTCCACACTTGTCTGCACCATTACCAATCATGTTACCTGTCTACAGGCAAGTTCAATATAGAGCATGTTTTACGTTAGAGATTTCTCCAAGAGAACCTTGTCTCTAACAAGAAGTACATGTAATGGTATCCTTCAATACTTGGTATTTATAGCTCAGTGAAGCTGTAAAATTTATTGTAATGGGTGTAAACAGAAGCTTTTAATTTAGGGCTTAAGTTTCTGGTACAATTTCCAACCATTTAACAAATATTTTGACCCTTAGGTGGTGGCAGCTTCCTTACTTCTGGGCTGGACTTAAGATGTATGATCTTGTCTCGGGGAGACAGCTTCTCAAGAGTAGCTACGTTGTTGGGAAGCAGAGGGCCTTGGAACTTTTTCCAATGCTCAAGAAAGAGAAATTGTGTGGTGCTATTATCTATTACGATGGTTAGTAATTAAAAATATGTCTTTCAAAACTGCCTTTACCAGATTGCAATAGCAGTATGAAGTGATGTGATAATTACACCTTTGACTCTTAAGAGTGACTTGTATCTAATTTCTCCCAACAGTATTATCCCTGAATCACACATTAAGGTCGCAAGAATCTAGGAAATGATCACCTTCTAAAGAAGCTCTTGATTGTTAAACAAATTCTCCTTGTCTGCACAATAGAAAGTGTATAAAGAAAAGTATGGAGAATTAGGATACATTTATGTATACAGAAGTTAGAGTTTAAAGGGCTTAGTTACACATTTCTGTTGATGTGAAGATTGTCAAGATTGCATCCACAGGGCAGCACAATGATGCAAGAATGAATCTTGCTATTGGCCTGACAGCTGTCAGGCATGGAGCATCAGCTGCCAACCATGTGGAGGTCCTGTCTCTTCTTAAACAGAAGGGTATGTTCTGTGAGTTTTCAAATATTAGCAATCATTGTTGGATTTTTTTTTCGGAATGGTACCATGTTGTCTGTTACAATAAGGCAGGGGATTGGTGAATCCTTATATCCCAGTGGACTCTGATTGTCCTAGGAAGCTCTGAATATATCCCATATGCAATTTTATTACATTAAGTGAGATGGGACTGAAAAATTATGTTTAACATACTTGTACAACCTGATTATGTGGCAATCAGTCATTGCTCCTTCCTGCAAAATGGGCTTCAAAGTTTGTATGCAAGTAGCAAACATATAAGGCAAAGGTTTGTCAGCATAATCATATTTTCCACCACTGCTCATTTACATATGAGGGGTATATCCTGTCCCTATCAAGAGAAAAAGCAGGGAAATATAATTACAAAACAAGAGGGGGATGTAGGGGAAGGAAGAAAGGATCTTACCCCTCACCCATCATTCTCAACTCCTTCCCATGCCCCTGCCAAAAGTTATATGCTTGCTTTTGCACCTGTCATCTTTGACTGAGAATCTGATGCAGGCTAATTGTACTAAGACCACAGAACTCAGATTTGTTGAAATTGTATTTCAGTGGAAGGTGCTGAGGAAGAAAGAGTTTGTGGAGCTCATGTAAGAGATTTGATTTCTGGAGAAGAATTTGACATAAAGGCTAAATGTGTTGTGAATGCAACTGGTCCTTTCACTGATGCCATCAGGAAGATGGATGAACCAGCGGAAAAAAACATTTGTCAGCCAAGTGCAGGAGTACATATTGTCCTTCCTGAATATTACAGGTATTTTGAATACAGAACTCTACGGTAGTCAATTATGTTAATCAGAATCATGCTAAAGCACTGCTCAGAAATGTTGCGTTAAAAGTATCAAGTAAAAAGTACCTTGTTCAGCATGATCATCAGTGCCACAAGGAAGTAAGGCCAGAAGAAGTTCTCCTATGAATCGTCACACACTAGACTTAACACATACTTAACCCTTTACCTCTCATGAGTGATAGAGACAGAATTTATTATTACAATATTAACCATTTCACCGCTAAGAGTGATTACTATCTTTTCCCCTGTCAGTATTACCCCTAAAACAAACATAAAAACAAATATATAAATTAGGAGGATATGTAGTTGATGCAATATCAAGTTCTCCGAAACAAACATCATAAGAATGGTATGGTAGACAGTAAGGAGAACTACTAAGTAAAAGAGATCTTGGAAATTTAAAGGTTAAAAATTCAAGCTTCCTATTGCGGCACGTTAAACAATACAACTGTATTTGAAAGTACTCTACCGTAGCTTTCATGTCAGTGGTCACAAATGAGGTTTTATTTTTAGACTTAGAGGTAATAACCACGTAGTACCCGAAGACAGGAATGCGTCTCTGAATCAAGAACAATTGTTTGTGTGTTGATTGTTTTGTTTCCGTTCATCGCAGTCCATCGGACATGGGACTTCTAGACCCTGCCACAAGCGATGGGCGTGTCATTTTTTTCCTCCCATGGGAAGGTGAGCCGAAGTTCTTTGCAGTAATGGAAAAGTTTGACCAGTTTGCCGTAGAGTAAACTTTGGCTGTAATATTGTTATTGTTTTTTGTAATGTTGCAGGAAAGACGATAGCAGGCACTACTGATACACCAACAGAACTGTCGTTCAACCCCTTACCAAAAGAGGCCGAGATACAGTTTATTCTGAGTGAGATAAGACACTACCTGAGCCCAGACGTTGACGGTGAGTAATTCTATCAAACGGCAGTGTGGGGAAATTTTTTTTTTTTTTTTTGGGGGGGGGGGGGGGGAGGTTTACGAATGTTTCCACTCGGTCTCAGTCCATAAGATGCAAAAGAACTTTGCAAAGTAATTTCCATTCTTTTCTGACGTTTGGTCAATAACGAGTGTATCTCTCTATCTCATGTTTGGTCGATTGCGTATGTTATATTATCCAATTATCTTTTTCACACTTTCTTGCAGTTCGCCGTGGTGATGTACTAGCGGCCTGGAGCGGGATTCGGCCCTTGGTCATCGATCCCAACTCCAAAAACACAGAATCCATCGCTCGAAACCATCTGATTCTTGTCAGCAAAAGTGGACTGGTGACTATTGCCGGCGGCAAATGGACAACTTACCGATCCATGGCTGTGGACACGATGGAGGCTGCTATAAAGGCGTGTGGGCTCAAACCAGCCAGAGAGTGTCAAACAGATGGACTTTTTCTCGAGGGAGGGGAAGGTTATTCACCGAATGACTTTATACGACTTGTGCAGGACTTTGGTCTCGAAGTGGAGGTTCGTAAAATTCTCCTTAGCACTCTTGAAGGAGCTACATCAATTTCCAAGGAGGATTTTTATTGTTTACTTTTGTAATTGTTTTCATTTCATGTTTCTAATACAGATTGCCAAACATCTCTCCCACACTTACGGCAACAAAGCACCAGAAGTAGCCAAGCTTGCCAACATAACTGGACGTCGGTGGCCAGTCGTGGGGAAACGCCTTTTGGAGCAATTCCCGTACATTGAAGCAGAAATTAAATATGCCGTGCAGGAATATGCGTGTACGGTGGTTGATTTTCTCGCCCGAAGAACGCGTCTAGCGTTTTTAAACGCGCAAGCTGCCGCGGACGCCATTCCGAAGATTGCCGATATCATGGCGAAGGAACTGAAGTGGTCCAAAGCCAAGAAAGAGGTAACTGATGACTTTTTATGGGAGATAGGTTTTTGCATTGCACGATAATTCCAGTCAGGAGAAGCCGAAGTGACTTCGATTTGTCATCCTACGTTTGTTGCTTATAGTGACGTCATTTATGCGTCTGTCCGCCAATAGATCATAAGGAAGAACCAATCAAAGTGCGTGTATCATTGACCTTTTCAGATGATGACATTTCTTTTTCCAGGCTGAGATAGCAGACGCTAACAAGTTTCTCGAAGCCATGGGATTAGAGGTTCTTGACCACGTCCGACGCGTGGAGGTCAATTTCAACAACGACGAAATCAAAGAATACGAGAAAATTTTCCAAAAAGCCAACAAATCAAAGCGGGGGTGTGTGACCTCGGTCGACTTAAGGAACATGCTGAAAGCTATGGGTGAAGATGTGTCAGAGGAACATCTTCATGAAGTCATAGCAGAGGTGGATACCAACAGAAACTCGTGTGTCGAACTGGATGAGTTTTTGCAGGTAAAAAAAAGTATTTTTCAGTAAATTAAGGATTATTCATAACCTCTCGTTCTTTTGTTCTTCCGGTTATCGACTCTTTCGTTCATTTTTTCGACCGTTTAATAGTTCCTTTGTTCTTTATTTGTTCCTTTTAACTACTTTTCTTGAAGTCTGCTTTCCATTCCATTTTCCTTGCATGGCCTCGCATTTCCAATTTTCGCGTGTCCTAATTCATAAAATCTTTGATGCAGTATCAAATTCTTACTACTAACATCAATAAATGAAGCGGACGATGGTGCGAGAATTATTATTTTTTCTGTGCTTCAGGTCATGAGTGCTATCAAGACTGGAGCAGTCGCCAACAATCGGTTTGCCGTCATTATAGACCGCCATCATAAACACTTGACACGTGAGATTCCCGTGGATCGTAGCGGCGGCGGACTATGACGTGGTCAGTCAATTATTTGAGCCAGAGCGCCTTTTTTGGCGCCCATTTGCCACGCGATTCATTACTGACCAATCACTTTTGTGGTAAATTACGGTGACTGCGTAAATATTTAGCCAATCATTAACGGGTTTTTTCCTTCCCTGAAGTACTGAGAAAATTACTTAACTGGAAAAATTGGAGGTTTAATCAAATTACTTGAGCAAAGGGAATGAAAAAAACGTCATGTATTGAATCCATTCTTACTATATGCTATATTAGTTACCAGTCTATCCACAACGTCACACTGAATTGTTTATAGTTTCCAAATGAGAATAAGAACTCGTATGACGTAACCACTTTTCTCGTTAACCCGTTTGAAGTGTAAAAGTGGATGTAGACTTTCGGTAACACAAGGGAGGGGAAAAATTGTCTTGTTTCTGAACAATAACAAGAAGAGTTTTTTCGATTTAATTGTAATGTTATTAATTAATCATGTTATTATCAATAAATTAATAGCAATGCTACTTTGCTAGTAACACGCGATTCTCGCCTCCTAATAGCACATTCGGAGTAATGAAGCATCGAACGGCTAAGCACACTTTTTTTCTTTTCCTATGATTTGTCGCTTTTACTTCGTCAAAATATGCTTGTACATGCATAGACTATTAATAGCAATAAGTAAAAGTTTATAGGTACGTGAAACGACGCTAAGCCACTATTTGTATCCTAGTGGTAACAATAAAAATGTGTGTATTTTTTGTTTAATTTTTACCTTGATTTCCAGTGCGGCAGAACTTACTACTAGCGCCAAAGGCAGGATATGTCACCGATGGTAATCGCGGGAAAAATTATGAGAGGCAAGCGCGGCAAAATGCGCATAAGCCAAGTCACATGTCCTTTTGGACTGATCTTTTATCGGCTGAAAAAATTGCATATTAGCCGTGATTGGTTGGGCTACGTAACACGTGCAAACAATCAGGGATTTCCGCCAAGTTATCACCAAAATCAGAGAATTTCGATAAAAAGGGCTCCAGTAAGATTGCGTAAGCTTTCCAGAACTCAAGAAAGTTGAGGAAAGCTTTCACTTGTTTGAGAATGCCGTTGAATTTAAGAGCGAATTTCGAAAGACCTTAAAACTTCAATGTAAAGGCTCGGTATAATTCCAGTGCAACTATTGAATAGTCTTAAAAGAACTGGAATGATCATTCTCTATTTGAACAGCTGAAAGGTGTGAGAGAAAAGACTAATTTTTTAAAGATATTTCATGCTGCTTTCCATACCACACCAACATTTAAAGGACGCCTGAGTTCGAAAAACAATAGGGACCAGAGTTAAAATTTATGTTTATATGAAAGAGCATTCTCGAGCTCTAGTTAGAAAAAAACTGTCTCTAAGGCGGGAGCCCTAAGCTTTCAATCTACAGTTTTTAATGAGTAAGATATAACACCAAAATTGCAAAAACCATGCAAAAATGAATAAAATGTAAACACGGTAGAATACGTACAATGTGCTTTTGTCGCGAAAATGGTGTTGATCTCAGAAACGGTTTGAGGCTGTTGTATGCTTCCGTACTTTTAGCAGTTTGCGAAGATTTTGGTCGAATCCCCAAGTTTCCTAAATCTATCACGGACATTACGGAGTCAAAAGAATGGTCATTGTGTGGCCTCGGATGTTCGAGGCCTTTCTTACACATTATAACATTCATCGACGAAGTCGTTGTTGTTCATTCAGAACCCTTGCAATTTCATTTGCATAAACGGAAGGCAATTTGCTGAGCCCCTTATCTGAGTCGCCACGTAACATTATAGGACTTAATAAAGGAGGAGGTTTCTGAAGAAACTGGTGCCGCGTCGGTGGGAGAGTGTAGCAGGGTAATTTAACATTATCAACCGAGTCATAACGTGAATTGGCCGGCGTAAAGAGTTGAAGAGCTGACGTTTCAAACGTTGGGCCCCTTGTCAGAGTGATTGACGAAGGGCTATCACTCGAAACGTCAGCTTTTATACTCTTTTACGGTGGCCAATTTACGTTATCAACTCAGTCGATAATACTAAATTATCCTATTATAGGACTTGGCCAACTTCACTCAGTGTTTAGTCTGTTACAATGTCTGTTTCCCCAGGGGAACGGCAATTTGCTTACTCAGACCCCTCCTTTGTCGGTCCCAGATTCACTTAAAAATTTCTCACCAGACCCCACAACGCATTCAGATTTGTGACTTGATAAAATCTGTTTTACAATTCCCTTTACAAACCATAAATAGCAATTCCAGGAATCGCAGAATTTATTAAGTAAAAACTATGGTTATTTTCTTGTGACCACTTCAAGATAACTAAGATTTACATCACAGAGAGACAGCGTAGGCTAGGTAGCAATGCACACAAGAAAAGAATTCGCCGACAGTCATCTATTACATGCAAAGTATTGTAAACATCACAATATTTTGATATAATACGCCTCTTATTACAAGAAGAGCGTATATAACTGCAGTTTAATTTAGAACCTCCACAGATTTCGGGCGAAGAAATCTTTCATTTCACTGCGATTTGACCTAAAAGGTTTCATTAAAAATATCAAGCTCTCTTAACTGATGATGACGAACAATGGGCGAAAAAAACGGCGATGAATTAGAACTCCGAGCACTAGTAAATCAGACTGAAAACGAACAGAACAGTTATGGAATCAGTAGGGAAAAAAGTGAAGACTCAAGCGCAGGTAAGCGTGTCTTTAAACATGAGTGGTTTATCAAGACACCATCATTTTACTATGCCTATGAATTTGAGATCAGTAAGAAAGATAACGAAACTCAATAAGCATTCACGATTGATGTTGAAATCGTTAAGTATACTGTTGGGAGGATTGAATACCCATCCCGTTAAATAAATCGATCGAAACATTGAATGAAAAGGTTTCAAACCACGCTGTAGACCTCGAAGTAAAATCATTACGTGTTTTCGGACTAAAATTGTTTGAAAATAACTAATTTACAAAATAATTGGCGTGATTATAATTTAGGAACTAGTTAGCCCACTCACTATGTTATTTCCTTAGATTTCTTATCCTGGAAACTCCTCTAGAAATATTCTCCCCTGATTTCATTTTCTTTAATATTTTATACTATGGAAAACAAAAATAATTTTCATTGGAAACCATTGGACAAAATTCATTCGAGAGGGTTTGTTTTGGAAGACAATGGTAAAATTACAAAAGACAATGGTAAAATTACATAAACACAAGCTTATTTTCATAAAGGTATTCTCTATTTAACAGACAAAGGAGATGAATTTTACGCATTTTGGAGAAAAGCGGCCATTTGTGTTTCGTGTGCTTCTATCATTTTGACCACAGGATTTGGAGGAACATTTTTCGGTAAGTCATTTTTTCAAAATTAATACATCATGCCTTTTAATTTAAGTCGTTCAATATCACCAAATTAGTGGTGGATAACCAGTTATTGTCTATAGAGTCGTTAAGTAGTATTCAAATCACAATTTTTAGCTCGTTAATCAAAAATCCTTGTTATTCTCTTCACAGTTTTCTCTCAAATTGCTGGTAGTCCTGCGGCCTTTGGATTTTCCGTAAGTGTCTTTTATTTAAAACAGTAAGACTTCACTTATTCTTTCATATCTTCAAGATAATTATGTAACTCTGCCAGTAACACTTTATGCTAACACTATTTTTTTATTCACGGCTGGTGAAATTAATTCAAACAGGTGAATAAAGCTTTGTTCTTGCGCTTTTTGACAGTCTCCGTTCAGTTTGGACCCAAAAGCAACTATTGCAAATTTGTATATTGAGGGGGTGTGAAGAAAAACACTCCTGGAGGTCGCTTTAATTAGCTGTTAGACTTTTCAAACACAGCTGATGTTTTCATTATAACAAAACTTGACGTTTCTGTTCTGCCTACGTAAATGAAAAGCTCATTAAGTTTTAGTGTGTAATTTCAAAAAAGTAACTAAGCCACGTAAAAATAAGAAAAAAAGTTAAACTGTTCGTGATCTATATTTCAGCAAACGAGACAGCTTTGTATTTAAACTAATGTAAGGCAACTCCGAAGCCACAAGGGTTTCACAGTATAAAAACTTTTGTATGTATATTCAGGGTTACAGGTCGCTATTTCAAGGAGCAGAGCATTTGTGTAAATAAGTCTGTAATTCTTCATAAAACAAGACATACTGTTCCAAATCACTAATAATTGCAGTGTTTCGAAAAAGATTGGTGGATGAATCACGCTAAAACGGAGTTTACGTCATCTGCTTTACGTAAATGTGTAGGCTTAAAGAAACTGTAAAGAATAAATGCTGTGAGAGTCATCGAGAAGAAATATTCTCTAAAATCCACTTGGTAATAAACCAAATCTTTCATTAAAGGTTTGACATTGAGAGTTACATTTTCATTCGCAACACAAGGCTCTAAAGTCTTGCAAATTTTCTGTTTTTATTTCTCGGGAACAAAAGGGTTCTCTTTCTCTATTAATATCTTGTTTGTCTACGGCTTGTTCTGCCGTTGGAATTATTCCCCGTTTTATGAAAGTAGATGGACATTGTTAAAGACTGAAAATAACTTTTAAGTTATCGAAATTTCCTTTCTGAAAATGTTGATTCACTTGCAGCTTGCAGCCGTGTTAGACTCTTTCAGTTCAGCAGTAGTTCTTTGGAGATTTTCCTTCAAAGAAAGCCGAAAGGATTCAAACTCGTTGGAACGAGAACGAAGGTTCGTATACATCGCTTTAGCTTCTTGCAAAACTTCGGGAACCTCCGCTTTTCATCGGCCACAAGGATCGACAATATTGTGCACGATATCTCGCGCTCTGATTGGCCCCGTGCAAGGCACTCCAAATATGTACGCCGGAATCTGGAGCCGGCTGCTCATGAAATACAGCTGCCATGCAAGCACTATAGATTTTATTGTCATATAATTAATTTAATTGTTTCCCGAACAGGAGACATTCCCTGAAATAAATTTTGCACGGGTCACAAGGCACGTGACTGGAGTTGAAAAAAATTTTGAAATCAATTTTTTTTTTGCATTTATTACTTTGTAGGGCATGTTTAGCGATAGCCATATGTTTTATCCTCTCAGCATTTGCCATAGCAGTAAAAACCATCTTCACCTTACTGAAGGACAAAATACCAACCAAGGCAAGAGAAAAAATTATATCAAAACACCCATCACAAATTTTTGAACGCTTTGACTCCTAAGTTCTGTTCGTCAATTTTCCCATCGAGCTTCTAAACATTTCCTTGTGATTTAGTTATGAGAATTTGGTGTTGTATCATAGTAACGTCTACCTGATAAGTTTGAGTAATCTGGATAATGTATGGATATTATGGGAGAAGTTACATGTTAATCACATTTAATTTGAGTTAATTTTAGGATGTAAAGGGTTAACGTGCCTCCTTAGCATGGGAAAAAAACTGTTTTCTGATTCATAGGATTTGTTGTATACAGTTACACTGCAAAAGCCGTTAGCTTTTGATAAATGCGTAGAACTCAGTGAATTTTATGTCAATTGCAGGAGTTTTTGATGGAGATTTTGTCAGGTAGCAGCTTGGTTTACCTGGTATTTCTGACGGCTTTCAAATATATAATAGCAGAAAAACTCGAGAGCCGAGCAATGAGGATAGATGGTAACACATACATGAAATGTTTGGAATACTCATTCTAGCGTTTCAAATTTGATAAATTCTCATTTTTTGGAATTTCTCGCCTCGTGAAGTAAAAGATAATATTCCGAGAGCGATACTTTCCACCAAAGCATAGTTGATAAAGCGTGTTTTCTTCGTCTCTTTTCAATTTTGCGATCAAATTGCTTTCCAAGAACTTTACTAAGCCACTTGATCATCACACAACATCTTTTGGAGCTCGTGTCACGCAGAAAATGCAGAATGGTACTCAACTTTTCGCGCTGTCGACCACAAATCGAACTTTCGTTTAAGGTTAACGGATAAGACTTGAATTTACTCAAATATTTCACTTGGAAAGCCGCAATTGCGAGGGTCCGCTCGAGAAATTCCTGCTTTGGTGCATTAATTACTAAACATCCTAAATAATGTCTTCACTAACCTTATGTGTTTCTTTTTACCTTTTCAATTCTCTCTAGCGATTAATTCTTTGGCTGGTGCTATTATGACCCTCGGTATGGTGGCTAGTGATGTGGTCTGTTCAAACAACCCGAAAATCTGTTACCTGGACTCTGTCACTGCGATTTTGATAGCTGTAGCGCTCTTCAGTTATGGTGTCATGTAAGTATAACAACTGTTGCCATTTCTCCCTGCATGCATCACCATCGCTGGTGGCGAGGAAGGAAAAAAAAATCCTGCGCACCGTTTGTCCCATGGGTGGGGAGGTAGAACAGTGTATTCACGTTCTCAGGATGACTTTAAGTGGACCTAAACTAGATTTTAAGGTTTTTTTCATTTCTTTTCTTCTGATTTATATTTCTAAGGACCATCACAGACCTGAAAACAGGCAAGGAGAAGAAACCACCGCGTGACTGAG